CCTTACTTATTTCCTTACCTTACTTTCAAGAATGCAAAATGAAACAGAAGCTGTGCACAATCCACCTGGGGAGAAATAAATGAACACTCACTAGAGAATTAAATAAAGGAAAAAGGGCACCCACCAAATTATGACAAAAAGAAAAAAGGTGACAAGATACACACAAAACAGACACAAAATAGCCAGAGCTTCAATCCCATCAACATGGGCACCATCTGGACTTTTTTTTTTTAAATCAGACCTCCACATTCCCATGGCCAAAGGCAAGAAGGAAGAAAGAAGAGGCAAGTTAGGAACAGAGGATGGAACAAAAAATAGGATAAAGCAAATAATCTAAAAGAAAGGAAAGAGGCAGGGAAATAGATGGATCTCTCTTTCTCCCTCTCTCTCGTTTCCTCCCTCCCTCTCTCTTTTTCTTTCTCTTTCTCTTGTCTGCACTCCCAGGTAGATCAGAAAGGAAGCAGGATAAGACTTGACTATAAGGTTACCTTAACATAATCTTGAAAGTCTGAAAATACAAATTTCCTGCTGTCTCGTTCTACAGTCTGAGAAATTTAGGATGAAACTTTTTTGTTTCTTTTTGTGCCTATTATGTTGCTGCATGTTCCCACCCCTTTTTATCTGATCATTGCCTAGGATGCGTCTCTTTCCACTCTCTCTCAAATCAATACCACAAACCATTACAAATTGTCTGTGCACAATTTTGGATGTGAGATTCTCCCTGGTCATACATGTCTGTGTGACCCTCTCTTCCTTATCTATACATTTAACATAAAGCAGAATTAAGGCATTCAAACTGCAAAAATCTGGGTGATTCTTAGGTGGCACTAGAGACATAAAGAAAATTCACTTTATTTATCTCCATTTTCTGGCTATCTGGACAGTTGCAGCCAAGACATTGGTAGCTCTAACGGAGATGGAAGCAAAGATGGTTAATAAAGGCTGCCTCACTATGGACCTTATTTGTTTGTTAAATTGTTTATTAAATTTATACTACTTATATATAGGTGATTTGGGGCAGCTTACAACATTAAAAATATGTAACATCACATCCCAGATTATAATATATTCTATACTTCAAAATGTGTAGACTTCAAGTCACAGAATACCCCAGCCGGCATGTTGGCTGGGGAATTCAGAGGCTTAAATTCCATACATTTGACAAAGTTGCCAAGTTTGACAAAAGTGATCTAACACATATACCTAACCTGTAGCTAGAGATTGTGATTTGTATTCTTTCTAATCCAACAAAATGTTGGAAAGAAATTATATAACGGGGTCAGATTTTCATATCTTTGCCTATCAATAAATTAATTCACAAAAAAACTGAGCAGAATGAGATAAATTTGGTATGCATGGAGAAGCTCAGAAAAGAAAAACCAGGCTTGAAAATGGTCTAATCCGGTCTGAGTTGCAAAATATTTTTCCAAAATATTATTTGAAGCATCCTTATGAGACAGCAGTGGAGCTATGGTGTGGAAGGATATTTACTTGCCAGGGCATACAGATGCAAAACCACAACATCTCAACATGAAGGATGCGCAGAAATAAATCCACACTTTTCTTCATTATACAGCAGAAAATACAAACAACTTCTATAATAACTGCTGGTAAACGGATTGAAAGACTTCAAAATATCACACATGCTGGTAAACGGATTGAAAGACTTCAAAATATCACACATTCCATGCATTTCCTACCTTGGTAATAAAGGAATTGGAAAAACTTGGGGCATCTGTCTCAAACCTGCAGGCATAGCTTGACTGAGAGCTGAATCACTAATGGAACTGGTGAAAATGTGTTGTATGACCTTAAAGAGAGAAAATTTATTCACAGGAGGAAAATTGTCTGATGTTTTCATCTATTTTATCATCATCATCATCATCACCATCCAGATCATCACTATTTTTTAAAGATTAGCTGCATTCACACAACTAAACTATCATTATGAATTATGGCTTACTACAAATCACTCCTGCTTGGCTTCTCATTTCTACAGCAGACTGCAGAGGTTCTTTCTACAGATTGTTCATTATAATTTTTTAACCAGTCAATTTGGCTCCCTAATTAAAATTAGATTCGGAGGTTATTGTTTGTTCTAGCAAAGAGGTGAACAAACCCTGAATTTTGCACTTCACTTTACATATACCACCAAACCTGCTTGGATGGTTGCTTCCCACTGGCAGGTGAATCAAAGGAGAGACCAGAATCTGCAACAGCCCAAGTACTTAAGGCAGGAGTAAGATGGTAAAATTGGTAGAATTTCTCTATGTTTAACCTGAAAACAAGTAGGTTATAAACCAGTGTACAGGCACAGACATCTATCAAGCTGTCTGAGCCTCATTAAAGTTTCCTAAGGCAACATGGGCATGATGTATATAGGGCCATTCCAACTTTTACAGATTGGTATTACTGTAAAGAAGACAAATAAGAGCTGCAGGAAAATGTGGCAGCACAGGGTAACCAGGGTTAGTCAGCCAGTTGTCCTGTTTTCCTGTATATTCCATTCTTTTCTTCCCCCATCCAGTCACCTATTCCACCTGTCCTTATTGATCTCTCTTTTTTCTGGGAAGCATATCCTATTAGAGTTTCTTTTTTCTATCATTATTTTTTTGTATCCTCCCCCACCCCATCAGAAAGTGCTGTTTTTTTAGTTAACTAGAAATCCATACTCACAGGGCATATTCATTTCAGCATACAGAAGGCAAGGAGCTTATAACCAACTTTAATGTTATAAAAACACCCTGTTTATGTGAACACTATGGAAACCCAAATGCATGTTTGGTTTTTTTGAGACCTATTATGTTATTCCTTTCCTTACAAAGATGAAATGTTTCAAAATGTTTTCCTCTTGGGAGAAACTGATGTAGCATAAATAACATCTCTTCCCCCACCAATTCTTTCAAGATGTGCGGAGTGGGGGGGGGGGCACTGAAGGCCAAGGGATCTGCTAACAGGGTTGTGTGTTTATGAGATACACACATTATAAAAGGTTGAACTCTGACAAAAATCAGAAAAGGAGAAGTGGCAAGAATATTTACCAGTGGAAAAAAATCAGACCTTTTTCTTTTTTTCATCAGCATGCTGTTGAAGAGATAAGGAGTTGGGTCATCCCATTTCTATCGCCTGCAATGGTCACACACTTCTTTGCCTTTTGATTCTCTTAAGGAAAAATGCAAGAAGCTGCTGACATTTCTGCTTAAAAGGAAGGATCAATAGATATTTCCTGCTGTCTGCCTCTTTGACCTTATTGTCTTATGGGACAGAAAGAGAAAATGGGGAGTTGAAGTGTAAGGATGGGATGTTTGTTGTAATAACTTGGACAAGATCACAGTTTCTTGGTCAACACACACAAGCTGTGATGCTATTCAGTTGTTTTTCCACTCTCAGGCCACTTTTGCTTATTTAGGATTCTTGCCCTGCTTCTAATAACTCACATTCTTTCAAACCATCATCTCCATATTGACAGGCAAATGTCAGCCATCATTGAACTGACATCCAATTGAGCCAGAATGTAAAAGTATAATTTAGAATTAATGGTTTGTGTGTTTTAAGGTGGCCCCCTTCTGCCTTGCGTCTGGAAGGAGCTTTATTTGCTGCTCTCTACTCCAGAGATGGGCAGAAGTGATGTGATACACGTTCACCATGCCAGGAGAGCACACTCAGCTCCATTACCAAAAATACAGGAAGGTCTAGAAAGCTGTTTAAATAGAGGAATCCAGAAAGCTACACGTACATCAGGGCTTCAAAAAAATTATTGAATCTGGGGTGGGGGTGGGTTACTTCAAGAAACAGCAGTGTGTGTGCGTGCGTGAGTGGACACTGGGTTGTCAGGTGAATTGTAATACACAACTCTTGTATTCAAAGTGATATTTCACATGATAGACAGAGGCCACTGGGGTAACCATTAACCTTTACATTCAGGATCAAAGACGGAAAGAAGATCCTAAGTAAACCTCTCTACCTTCCATGAACTACTGCAGCCAAGAAAACGGCCCTATCACTTTGGAGTGGGCAAGAAGAAAGCTCCCGATTTCACTGCTCAGTGAGAAGGGATAAACAGGGAGGGGAGGCAGGGAAAGAAGAGAGGGGAGGAAAACATTTCCCCACACTTGTCAGAGAGATGCCAAACTCTCGGAGAGTGGGCTGAGCGCAGCAGATGCTGGGATGAGATGCCAAAGCAGCTCCTCTTTCCTCTGCGCCTTTGGGTGCTTATAAATTACCCCCGCGTCTTCAGCAGCCTTCTCTTGTCGCGCCAGCCGGCTGCGTGCGCTCATCGTGGTGCTTCGTTCCAGCGCGCGGGGCTTCCGGACTGGGGACCCTCCGGCACCATTGGCGACCGAGCGAGCCAGGGCTGAAAAGGAACCTCCGTCTCCTTCCTTCTCGCCGGCACGAGTGGCGAGCAGGAATCTCCCAGGCTCCCACGCGCTCTCCCCCGCTGCCCTCGGAGATTTGGTGTCGCTGCAGAAGAGTAAGAATGAATGAATGAATGAAAGAAAGAAAAAAAAATAAAAGAAATAAAAGAAGGGAGGGAAGAAAAAAAAGGGGGGGGCGACCCGCGAGAAGACCTCAAAAGAGGCGACCGGGAGGAGCAGAAGGGAAGTTGATTCGAGCTGGCATAGACTGGGGGGAAAAAAAGTCGATCGCCAGCCACAGCATAAAAGTGTGAGCGACTCTTCTCAGCCTAACAGCAGCGGCAGCCACAGGTGCCCCAGACGGGAAGCCGAGCCATCCACGAAGAGCAGAGCGGAGCAAGGCTCCCGGAGCTTCGGGATCTGGCGAAGGAGATTTGCCCCCGTGCCCCTCCCGGTCGACGGGAGGAAGAGGGCGACAAGGCCCCACGGACGCGGGGAGGCTACCCCGCGGTGATTTCGGCTGGAAGAGGTTCCCGACCCACCATCAAGATTTTGTCCAAAAGCAGGCAAGAGGATCGCCCTGCGCTGAGCCGCCTGGTGGGCAGCAGGCGCCGGCTGATCGCGGCCGGTGCGCTAGGGGTGGTCATGGTGCTACTGCTGGTCATCCTCATCCCGGTGTTGGTGAGTTCGGCGGGCACATCGGCGCACTACGAAATGCTGGGCACCTGCCGCATGGTCTGCGACCCCTACGGCGGAACCAAGGCGCCCAGCACGGCGGCCACGCCCGATCGCGGCCTCATGCAATCGCTACCCACCTTCATCCAAGGCCCCAAGGGCGAGGCCGGACGGCCGGGTAAAGCCGGGCCTCGGGGGCCCCCAGGAGAACCAGGTCCGCCGGGGCCGGTGGGCCCGCCGGGAGATAAAGGCGAGCCTGGGCGCCAAGGTCTACCTGGCCCGCCGGGAACGCCTGGCCTGAACGCGGCCGGGGCGATCAGCGCTGCCACTTACAGCACGGTGCCTAAGATCGCCTTCTACGCGGGGCTGAAGCGCCAGCACGAGGGTTACGAGGTCTTGAAGTTCGACGACGTCGTCACCAACCTGGGAAACCATTACGATCCGACGACCGGCAAGTTCACCTGCTCCATCCCGGGCATCTACTTCTTCACCTACCACGTGCTCATGCGGGGCGGCGACGGCACCAGCATGTGGGCCGACCTCTGCAAGAATAACCAGGTGGGACCGGGGAAAGCTCCAGGGCGCAGAAATGAGCCCCGGAGGAGCGGGGAGGGGGCGAGTCTAATTTTTCTCGGCCAAAGGCTTTTCCTGGAGAGGCAAAAATTCAACTACTGTCGCATGCCCGCGCGGAGTATAGCTGCGTTGGTTGGCCTTCTGCAGGTTGCATTTCTGCCTAGCCAAGAGCCGCCTCTGGCCGAGTTTGACAAGAGAAAGCAGACAGAAAAAATTAAGGAATGAAAAACTCTCAATGGACACATAGTTCGACCTGTAAGTGTTAGGAGATCCTCCAGGAAAATAAAAATAGCTTAGAAAGTTGAAGATCTAGTAGGAGCAAAAAAATAAAAAAAGGTTCCTCTCTGCAGGCACAGGAAGGCTGCAGCCTTTGGGGTTTTTTGCATCCTTAGATAGAAAATCCTGGGAGAGGATTGCTAACAGACCTCTGCTAACAGAGCTCTGGGCCCTGGGGAAACTGAAGGTAATCTAGGAGAGGAGTGCCGCGTGGCACTGTGGGCATCCTAAAGGCAGTATCTTGGTAGGAATTTAGAGTGGTAAGGAGAGACTTGGAGATGGTGCACCCTGGACCCAAGCCTGGTGTACTTACCAAGTAAGAATATTAGGACAGGCCTAGGCAGCAGCTCAGTGCTTCGGTGAAAATGTTAATAAACAGTAATTCAGTTGTGGCCCCTCGCCTGCCTACCTCGATTCTCTCTGCTGCTGCTTTTGATTGATGGGTTCAGAACAGCAGAATCTTATCAAGAAGGCAGCCTTTGAAGGCAGCGAATGTTTGAAGTTTCTTGATTTTTGATTGCTGGCTATCTTGGGGGCAGGGATACATTCTTTTGGAACGTTACAAACACACACACACACACATACAACTTTTTAAACATGAAAAATGATTACTTTGACAAGCCCTTATTTGGGTAGCCGGGTGTTAACGATTTGTGAGAACACTGAGCAGCTATCGGTCGTGTACACGGGGATAGGTGTATACTGGGTACACCGGAGTAGTTCGAGGACTTTAATCGGGCTTCACTGGATGTGTGTGAATAGCGAAGGAAAGTTTGATGCCTACTTCCCACGACTTGAGCTTCCCCCAATCTAATACCTTCCAGCTGTCTTCGAGATCCCCAAGAGTGAAAATGGTAGGCAACTGTATCACACACTATGCCCCGTTTCCAAAGCAGGGTGCCCATTGCCCATGCCAGGCATTACGGGGGTGTAGCATCCGGAGAGCAACGATTGAGGGACTCCACCTCGTTCTTCCGTGAATCACCTGGCATTACGCCCATAGCAGGTGGGCCAAGAAACAGTTCCTCACTCTTTTCAGCACCCGCCTTATTCTGACGCCGGTTCTTGGACTCCTGGCGTGGAGGGAGATGCAACAATCTTGGGATCAATGGTTTAAACTGTGCGAAGTTTAAATTGTTTTCTGAGACGGGCAGACGGGAAGAGAAAATCTCAAGAGAGTTATTGCGAGGTTGGAGGGTTAGAGGAAAAGTATTTAGTTATAAGGCGAACGTGGCGCTGGGCCCTGCCTGAGAGCGTTTGCTGGCGCGTGAAAGGCAATCTGGAGCGAGCCAATGGAGAGGGAATCATTCTTCCAATACCCCCGGGCATGTGGGTTGAGCGGGCCAGTGGGCAATCCACCTTCTCGTAGGAAGGAGGCGAGAAATAAATGACGAAACCTTAATAGTCTAGGTGCGGGGCTGCAACTTCAGAAGCGTCGCCGCATCCAGGAAAAAGCGTTTTATATGACTCCTGCATGACCGCGGGGAAGTTGCTACAATACTAGAGACCAATGTGGAGGGAGAAGGAAACCAGGAGCGCCTGGTTAAACTGGGCCTTTTAGGGAGCGTCCTCCTCTTCCTTAAGGTTTGCACCCCAAACGAAGGCCGGTTTCCCTGTCCGAGGAGCCGCCTCTTCCCCAAGTCTGCACGAGGCGCGGGCGAAGCTTGGCTAGAAGCCCCGGCTCATCAGAGGAGGCTTAGGAGGAGACACGGTGGCAAGGCGGCCCAGCTAGCGACAGGTAAAAGGCCACGGTTGGCGGGTTGAGCGGCTTCTTTCAACCGCGCTTTATTAGAGCGCGGGGTTTTCCCAAGGGCCTCCAGGCACGGCGGCCCAGACTGGAAACAAAGAGCCCTTTATTATTCCAAATGCTCCCGGGGGCCTTTATCATTTACAGCGGGAGGGAGGGGGGAAGACTTTGAGATGGTTGTCGAACCGGGCGGCAGCCGTGCAAACCTCTCTCCTTCGAAGTCCAATTTTTGAAAGGACTCTCCCTCTTCAGTGCACCCAGGATTCACTCCACGCACACCTCAGCGTTTTCGAAGGGGTCTCCTGCAAATCTACGGGCTTTTTCTTAGGATAGCAGACACGAAGAAAATGGGCGAGGAAGCGACCAGTATGTGTAGTGGGGGGAATGTTTTTCCTGCGTCACCGCTTCAGCGCACTTTTGGGAGAGTTTTAGGTTAAAGGACACCAAGCGCGAAAGAAATGGAAAAGAGAAAAATAAAATAAAATGAAATTCTGGAGAAGCTTGGAAAGGATCCCATAATGCAATATCTGTACGTGCTTATTCAGCCATAGTTCCCATTGGGATTGCAAATAAGTGCACTGAGAATTGGCATCTGTGAATTTAGTTCTAACTTACTAACTATACAAGACTTGGAACAGACACAATGAAATCAATGCTAAAATATAATTAAACATAGGCCCAATTATTTTAAACTGACAATCTTCACTTGATTTAGTGAGTCTTTTGGCCTTAAAGTTTTGTCAGATATTAGGTTTTGTTGTCATGTTCTTGACTCTAAAGAGAAGGTATAATTGTTTGCTTTTCCCAAGTTTTTTGCAAAAAGTCAAAGCAGAAATCCTCCCCTACTGATACTAAAGATCATTAAAGTTTATAAATGGAACAACCTAGCAATCATAAATTTTAATTCTACAATAGTGTTAGTTCTATATAATTTGCGTGGACAGTAATGAATGGATGTTAACTATGGATGTCCTCTATATGCTAATTGTTTGTATTCATTAATGTCTGTGTAAGCATGATTGATAATTATATGGCTAAGAAAAAAATAGATGACCTCCAAGATCCCTCCAAGATCCCTTCCAACTTTATTATTATTAGTAGTACTCATGCCTAGATAGATTTGTTCCCACAACATTCCCTTGCAAAGGGAATGTCCAAATAATTCAGTGAAAATCAAAGTAACAGTATAATTTGATGACATAATGCCAACTTGTAAGACTTATCATAATTCTGAATGCATTGATTTCACAATCCTTACTAGGAAATACTACCAAGATTTACATTTATTATAGATTTACATTTACAGGTAAGCATTGTGTGTGCAAACTATGTGTCGACTGTTGTACTGAAAACATAAATGGCTATTTTCTCTCTCATTAGATTAAGAGAAACCAGAAATAATTCATATTTGCTTTTTGGTTTATGCATTTGTGCTAAAATTATAGCTAGAACCGTGCATGGTTTTCCTGCACTTGACCAATATATTGTAAAAACTCAAATATGGGAATTGGAAGGTATTCTTTCCTGAAAAAAAGAATGAAATCTGAAATTACTGAAGGTTTTTTTTTTTTTGCAGAATACCAATGTGCTGCAACCAGAGGAACATTTTTTAATCACCTCAACTTTGGATTGACTGCAGTATTACAGATGGGGTCATCAGAGGATGATAAATTAATCATACATGGCTTTTAACCTTGTGTTTATAGCTTCTGACTAGTATATGAAAAATAAAAATATGAAAGTATAAGCAATAATCAAATAAACAAAAGTGTCACTCATAAATACTATATATTGATGAACATTAATTATAACATTTCTCACATTTACATCAGTTTACAAGGAAAAAATTTCTCTTTAAAATTTGACTGAATAAAAATAGAACAAAATCCAGTGCATGGCATGTATGAAAACAATTGTTCATATTAGCTTGAAGGTAGACTAAGTCCACAGCTCCAGACATTTTTAAATTAATTCAGTCACCAAACAAACAGGCAAATATTGATCAAGCTAATACTGAATTCAGTTCATATTTATGCAGGCATAAGCAATCCTTAAGCCAATTTTTTTATATTGGTGACTAGCTGTAATCCATTGATATTCTAAGGGCAGTGATTTGATCTTATAGCATTGATAGCTAATGAACTGTGAGAATTGAATTTTCTATACAAATTATTGGTTGGGCGGACAAATTATCTTTTAAAAATAGGGCAAAGTGTTATAGATTGCATAGCAATGAGAAAAATATCAGTGCTGAAATACATGTGACTTGTAAGGAAGAAAAATATTTAAGAGAAACATATTGAATATTTAAAGGATTCCCATATAGCATATTGCTTCCTTTAATAGTTAACATAAATATAGAACTGCTGAGACTACAACATAATTAGTTTGTTTGCAGTTTGACTGTCCCTGTATACCTTTATAGGCCAATGAGGTAAGCAGTCATGAAACTTAGGTAATGTACACAACATTGTTTTAATTTGGAGATGCCTTTAACATACAGCAATACAGCCTGGAATATTCTTCTGAGGCTGTCCTTATAGGTTTTAAAAACAGATTATGATATCTACCCACAGCAACAAAACACACAGAGAAAAAGCTATAAAGTTAGTACACTTAGTATGGGATTCAGGTTAATGCAGATGCAAAGCCCAGTAGCTAAAATACAAAGCTATTGCATTGATCAAACTGTTTTTTGAGTTCTCTTATAGTTTATATTCTATGGTAGTTTACAATAAGTAATACTATGCATTTCTAAGGCATCTGTCCATTTTTTCATAATGTATAAAGCAAAGAGTATTTAATGCTAAAGATAGAATTTATATCATTTGATAGAAGCAATATTAGCTGTAATATCAAGCAATTTCAACAATATTTAAATAAAGCACATGGAATTTGAATATAATTTTAATACTTAAACCTAATGAAGTGCAAGCACTAACTATTTCGCCTTATGTTGCAATAATTATTCACATACACCAAAAGGTATCAACTTTCTCTTTGTTATTTAGAATTATTATCTTGGAAAGAGCTTAGTTCCAAAGAATGTATATTTCAGACATTGATCTAAGGTCCTCAGACATTCCCAGCTTCTTCATTTTTAGGAAATATCCTATTTGATATTTATTGATTAAAGAGTAGTCAAGACAGATCACTTTAATAAATAGTAAATTATTTCTGAAGTAATGAATCAAAAATAGGACTGCTTGGGATATTACTCTACATTATGGCAGCTTAAATTGGAACGTGTTCGAGGTAATTACAAATCTCATAAGCCTTGAAGCTTTCTATACAATGCAGGAGAAGAGGATTTTTCTGCTTCTGTGATTTCTAAGCTTTCTAATCCGCTGTGTGATCTTGCATGGTGGAAAGTCTTATCCATTGTTAACATTTCTGTACTAACATGGGGCTACATATAAACATTTAATTTGAAAACCTATCATTTATACTTTTGAAAGGCATGCATAGACAGTTTTTGACTTATTCTACTTCTCCTAATTCCAAAAATATCCAGAAGACTGTACGCCAAGTCTTGAACTATTTTTTAGTTCAGACATCCAAAATTATTAAATCATAGATCTATTAAAGAATAGGATAAAACTATAAGCGTACTGCAAATATATATATATCAAAGGTTAAATATTTATTTGTAGATCTAAAGAACATATAAATGAACTGATGCAATTTTTGTTTGGTTATATGCTGAACTGAGGAGTGCTAGCAGTTTCAAATAGCCTATTTGTTAAATATAGTTAAACCGATAGGACATATTTTAAAACAAATCTTGAGCTTGAAGCTTAAATAATTGTATATGATTAGAATCTCAAGACTATGCAATATTTATATCAAATTTTATTTGATATAAATCTTATTATTAAAAAATAGTGATAGTTGTGATTTCAACACATTACTTTTTCATATGATCCATATTTCAATTTGATCTTTTTTATTGAAAAGCATTAAAAGTTTATTAACCCAGATCTAAAAGCATCAGTGAATTAAATGCTGATTGCTTTCACACTTCTATAATCTTGTATCCTTTGTTTTATCAACAGGGCCTGATTCTGATACAGAACTGATAAGAATCATATACAATATCATACTGATATACCTCTAGTTTCATCTGGTGAAAAATCAGTTTAGGCTCATCAATAGGATTAAATTATTGTAACTTAGTGAAATAAAGTTGTCTTTTGGATTATAATTTTCCATATGATATTAGAAGCTATCTTTGAAAATTTCCCATTATTATAAAAGCCATATATTACAAATAATGTAGTTCCATGAAAAATCCAATGAAACTTGTAAAAGTGTTGAGTTTGCAAGCCCAAATATATTTAAAGAATGTCAGATTGGGAAAAGTTAAAGTTGGCAGTTCACTGAAGTACCTGGTTAGAGATTTGGAGTAATTATTTTGAATCCAGCTCATTGTTACAACTCATGTTTCTCAGCAAGTCATACGAAACTAAACAGAGTAACCTCCATGCACAAACTTTGAAGAAAATAGTGTATGAATGTGAAACCTAAGCAAGTGACATGTTAAGTTAGTAGTCTGAAAGGATTTCAGTAGTGTTAATTACTTTTGCTTAAGGATGGATTCTGCAATATTCAGACAACAAGCTATTTGTTGATAGTTGTACTAGGTGTTACTAAGCTAAAACTGGCTCTTTTGTGAAATGTTGATTGCAGTGGTAAAAAGAAAAAATACCAAAAATATAAGTTGGAACTTGTAAGTGAACATACAGTTTCATAACTGAGTGTTGACAAGTACTAAAATTGTGAACAGTCTTTTTTCTGTATTTTATTTAGGTGCGAGCTAGTGCCATTGCACAAGACGCAGATCAAAACTATGATTACGCCAGCAACAGCGTGGTCCTACATTTGGAACCAGGAGATGAAGTCTATATAAAATTAGATGGTGGAAAAGCACATGGAGGAAACAACAACAAATACAGCACATTTTCTGGATTTATAATTTATGCTGACTGATATTAAACACAAACTAAATGACCTTCTAATGATGGATTCTCTTGGCCAAAATAAAAGGATCAAGAAATCCCAGGGGATACTGATTGTAGACTCTTCAGGAGTGAAGCCAAATGCTACCTAACCCATATCTGTACAACCCAGAGAAAGATGTTTAAAAAAATAGAGCAAGTGTAAGAGGTGTGTGATCTACTATCGCCAAAGCAAAATAGTCCTTGTTGTTAATGTTCATGTGAATGAAGTCTTACATAAATCACAATTTTTATAAGAGAAAGAAAAAAGAGGCACTGAATTACTTCTTCAGCATATGTAATATCTTTGGTGTGCTATGATTTCATGCTGCTTTTCTTCATCCATCAGCTTTGGTGCTTCTCACTTATCTGCTAACTATGAGCCAGTTCTGAGTATATGGTGAAGAATGTTTTTTTTTCAATAAAAGGAAGATGTAAGAGAAATTCTGCTGTTCCTTCCAAGGGATATATTTGCCTAATCTTTCCATTCCTTGGCTATCTAGAAATAGGAAACAGGGCTCCTTCAAAGCTTAGCTCTATTGTTGTACTTAGATGAAAATACAACTACAGCACAATTGTCTCATTTTCTGTTATTGATTCAATATTATGCAATTGTTAATATTATGTAATATCTTTTAGGCATATTCCCCCCCTCTAGAACCAGGAGGATTGTCCCATTTATTTTAATAGAGTAAGAACAGTCCACAGATAAGAATATAAAGTCAATGGGCAGATTTCTGTATGCAAAGCAAGAGACAGAAAATAATAAAACAATTGCATTCCATGAAAACAAAATATGAAATTAAAAAAACAACCCTGTTGCGGTATTATTTCTAATATTTATTAAGAATATAATTTGATTACTTTTTTTAAGACATGAAAAGATAGAATTCATGATGTAGATACTCAGGAGCAGAAGTCTGGTACAAGTTAAATGCTGAATCATGTTGGCAGAGTCACAGTTACAACAGTGGGGGAAAAGATTTCAGTTTTTCTAGCTGTATGTTGTTGTCAATTACTAAAGAATTTAGCTTTCTTCAACACTTTTAAGTTTGTTCTTTTCTACAAATTTCATCCTGCGTGCCATTTGTTGCATTCAATTTACAATTACAGCTGTATGCAAACTTTATCCCAATGGTGGAGCAATGACATAATATTGGTAGTTATGGATAGAACTGATTAGATCGGCTTTTTTAAATCTAATTTGCACAGGCTAATTCTGCACATTTAGCACTTCAGGAAGTATCCCTACAGTATAAACTGGGAGGGGGGCAGTTTGCAGCACAATCCTATGCAGATCTGCTCAGAAGTAAACCACTTTAATGGGAGTCCATATGTAAATGGTGGTGTTTTGTTGTTCTGTTGTATCAAAATGCCACACAAACTCCATGATGTTATCAAGTATCTTTGGGATTGTGACCTGAACATTTGTCAAGTATTATAATAGTTTATAATACAATATAATAATCTTGCTCCCAATCTGGGTTAATACTATATAATTGTTATACAGCATTTTCATAAAATGTCATATAAAAACAAATAATCTCCAGCAAATAATCCAGTATGTTTCTAATTATTATCTTTTGTTTAACTTAAATGTTAAGATTTTTTATATTAAAAACTTATTGTCTATAATTAGGCTGTGAACTCAGTTGTGAGACTTCTAGACTTAATTTGTTAACTGACTTAACAACAAATTAACCCCCGTGATTCTAATAGGACTTACTTCTGAGTATTTATGTACAGGAATGCATATTTTAGGTGCTAAACTTGTAAATGTGATGTTTCATTATCAATCCAATACAAAGAGGTATTCAAAGAATATGAAATAGGATTATATAAAATATGTATAAAGAGATTTTAAAATATGGTACACTTAAGCCTATGTTTGTGGAACAAGAGGCTCAATGAATTATTTCAGTTATACTTCCATAAACAATTTTCCATATATTTAATGATTTTATATAGAATATTTTTTGAAAAAGTTAAAATGTATACTCTTGAGATTGAGTCTCCTCTATCCATGCAATTTTCTTAGGAAGAGTATGACAATCATGCCTTCTTCCCAGATACTTGAAAAGAAGGACTATAATGACATGATAGCAATATTCCAATATTTGAGGGACTGCCACAAGCATGAGGGGGGTCAATCTATTCTCCAAAGCACCTGATGGCAAGATAAGAAGCAATTGATAAAAACTAATCAAGCAGAGAAGCAACCTAGAACTATGGAGAAATTTCCTGATAGTTAGAACAATTAATCACTGGAAGGAGGTGCCTCCAGAAACCATGGATGGTCCAACACTGGGGATTTTTAAGAAGAGCTTGACAAACAAACATTTGTCTGAAATAGTATAGGGTTTCTTGCTTGAGCAGGTCATTGGAGAGGAAGACCTCCAAGGTCCCTTCCAACTCTGTTATTCTGTTTTCAGCAGCCCCAGAATTTCTTGGTAATCTTCTATTGAAGTGCTAAATAACTCTTCTTAGTTTCAAAATTCAGACAAAGTCTGGGCAGGTGCTGCTGTGACTAAATAAATAGCCACTATAAATCTGCTTATGAAGATACTTTAAATCAATCTTGGTTCCTGGTAACTTCACAGACAAGTTATTGCTGTTTTCTTGGCAGCCATGTTTTGGAAGTGGTTTTTCATTTCCTTCCTAGGTCTGAGAGAGCTACTGGCCCGAGGTCAGCTAATTGGCTTTGTACCTAAGACAACACTAGAACTCATCGTCTCCTGTTTTCTACTCTGGTACCTTTATTTGCTATATACCCAAACTGGCTCTCCAGTACCTTAAAAGTAAATTCCTGATATGCTAGCTATATCTATTCTTAAATGCACTTACAATAAAATAATTTTTGCCAAAATCAATTTAAAAATATATCCTATTAATATATGTAGATTTCAGCACACCAAGAGCAACCCCCAGTGAAATGGAATTTATTTATTTACAATCCAGTAGGTTGCATATATATATATATATATATTCAGAAGTTAGTTTGAATTCACTCTTATTTTTCTTCATAACCATACATTTAAAGTGCAATTCTATTTATTGGTTTGTTTGTACAACCCTAGCTTCTTTTAACTTCAAGTTAAATATTAAATTTTGATTCCCAAACCAATCTCCCTTCCTTCTTCCTCCCTCGCTCCCTTTCCTACCTCCCTTCTCAAATTCCGGCAGTTTTCATGGCAAACATCTACCTTAAAAGGACCAAATGAATTCTGTCATTATCCACTCTGTGATGCATTAGAAGTATTTCATAGCATATCAACAGATCTTAAAATATTTCTTTGATGATCCTATTGAAATTTTCTTGATCAGCCCACCAGTTTGTAAGGTGATACAGACATTATTTACTTTTCAGTTTGCCATAAGCCTACCTAGAACTGCTTTTTTTTTAAAGAAAAAGAAAAGAAAATAATTCTGACAGCTATGAATCTCATAACTCCATTTGTTGGAGAAGATATGCAATTTAAGCTTACTGACAGCAAAATAGGGAGATTTTCTCTAAATTGTCAAAATGCATATTTCAAGAAACAGAAGAGTCATGTTTCAGAGAAGTAGATGGATCTATGCAAAGGGACTGCTTCATCTGCATCTTGAAATGCAATGCAGAGTGTTGTATTTTGGAAATGGAAAGGGCCAATTCACATTTGAAGTTTTTTATATATGTGTGCTTTGCTCAAATGACTGTATAAATAGACATGTACGAGACGAAGCAAGGAAAGATTTATTGCTGGATACACTTAAAGTACACTGCATTTCATGTTAGGATGTCCATTTTTAAAAAACAAAACAAACTAGTAGTTCTATCAAGGGCTTACACATAAAACAATGTCATTTACATTCAGTTGTGATCCAGACCATGATTGAAGTCTCTCATTCTGATTAATTCAAATGGATGTTTTCCATCCAATTAATTCCATAGAAGGCCATTTAAAAATAATTTTGATTCATTCATATGATATGTTCCATCTTCATATTATAGAAGTTTCATTAAACATATTTTTTTCCAAAAGTACATCTATTTTTGTTATTATTTTAAGTTGCAATCATACAATCAAAAAATTGGAGTTCTGACATTACAAATCATATTTTCTTATTCTGTGCTCCAAAGGTACAATTTTATTTTCCTCAACCAATTTCAATTCTATTTTTTTCACTTTCACCAAAGCAAACAGGATCACAGTTTTTTTTATTTAAAAGTCAGCCACTGTTTGGGATTTTCTAGCAATAGCTTATCAATTTTATTTTGAGATATTCCTCTCGTGAGCATTTTTGGGACAATATTTTCAAGAATATGAGAATAGCCGTGGCCACCATATTTCTTTAGTCTATGTTTTGTGTGAATATCATGAGCAATCACAATTTTGTCATCATAACCTTCTTCAATCAACATTCGAACTCTGCAAAAAAAGGAAATATTTCTGAATAAATGTTCAAATTAATTTGTGATATAAAGAAATAATCTCTGGAAATAGATTTCAACAGTATTTTTTACTGAAATCACCTATTCTCTTATGCTGAAAAGAAATTAGACTAGTATTTACACAAACGGGTAATCATGAATTACTATTGTTCTGATAATAAACACTATAACCATTCTCACTTCAGTGATACTGTAGCAGAATAAAATGGATAACTCTGTGGTACAATTAATACTATACATGAGTTAAGAACTCTGAGTTATTTTTCTACTATTAAGCTGGCATAAATACATTCTTGGCTTATGAGTCTTCCATCTTAGAGAAGCAAGCAGATTTACTGCTTCAGGCAGAAAGGTAAGCAAATCATAGATTCCTGCTAGCAAGATGAGCTGAATAAAACACCAGTATCTGTTTATATATGGTTAAGTCAGATTTTCAAGAATTCTGAGTTGCCATGCTATAGAGTGGAAACCTCCAAAGCTTTTGTTTCCTAAATATTAAATGGGTTAATGGAATATTTATAAGTATTCTACTTGCTCACAAATTACAGAGTATAGGTAGT